TGCTTCATTAAGTCTATAATATTACAGTAAGGGCTGAAATCTAGACTTGCTTCATTAAGTCTATAATATTACAGTAAGGGCTACAATCTAGACTTGCTTCATTAAGTCTGTAATATTACAGTAAGGGCTACAATCTAGACTTGCTTCATTAAGTCTATTATATTACAGTAAGGGCTACAATCTAGACTTGCTTCATTAAGTCTATAATATTACAGTAAGGGCTACAATCTAGACTTGCTTCATTAAGTCTATAATATTACAGTAAGGGCTACAATCTAGACTTGCTTCATTAAGTCTATAATATTACAGTAAGGGCTACAATCTAGACTTGCTTCATTAAGTCTATAATATTACAGTAAGGGCTAGCTGGAAGGGGAATAATGTGGTTCAGGGCCTGAGACATACTTCCATTTCCAGTTAGAGTTGATGTTTCAATTCCACATGTGAAATTAAGTCAATGTCTTTATGTATTACTGTCATCATTATCTGCTAGACTTCTAGGCATCATAAAATTAATGTCAGCAAACAAAATCGAATATTGGGACAATTTGCTAGGACTGCAGTGCTAATTGATCCAAGCCAAGTCTCTTAAGATAAATTTAATCATTCGGTAAATATCTACAGCAGGATCTCAGAGTAAGAGGAGGCTGTGAGGATATCATCTCCACAGCATAGACACAGCACATCACTGAAATGAATTCTGTGAACTTTGACCCTGCCAGTACTGACCCATACTGTGGAGCAGATAACAAGCATCAAAGGTAATTCAGTTGACCCAGCCTGCAGAGAGGGGAAGGGAGGGGAGGGGGTGGGGAAGGGAGGGGTGGGGGTGGGGAAGGAGGTATGGAACCTGTTTACTATCCATCTGAGAGACCACTGGTGTTAGGCATTCCCTATGTAGACTCCCTGCGATGGTGAGCAGAGTACATCTGGCTGATGCATAACAGTGCATGATGCATAACAGTGCATGATGCATATCAGTGCATGATGCATGTGTAATACCGTAACACTCACTCATACTGTCTTTACCAGTTGTCAGAATTACCATACATATTATTCGTAATTTTATGTTATCATTTATAAAATAATACCAAATCCCTCCGATTGTTCAGCTCAAAAAGCCTGTTCAATTCATAGCATGTTTCAAAGCATCAACACGCCCTAACTGTGTATTAATCTGACATTGTGTTTCATCATTACTGTTATATTTCCTGCTCTCATAATGCATAAAGTGTTTGATTTGTTTCTGTGCCTGGCCCCAAGTGGGTGTATATGTACAATAACCTTTATCCTTATCTTTATTTTCAATCCAGATGAAGAAATTAGTAAAATCCGAGACCGTAAAATACATTTACATAATCGTCTCTGGTAGAATATAATTTGGTATGAATCAGTAAAGTTGTATGCTACTGTTCTTAGTTTTATGAAGGCATAGAAGTTCTTGGAACTGAGTCTGGCCTCATAAATGAAGTTCCAAGTCTTTGCAGTTTATTTTGTATGGAAATATAAATGACAAAATCATAAGAAATGTTTGTTTTGTTTGTTGTGAAACGTCTCGAATCAAATTGTATGTCATTTGTCTTGCAACCTTTCAACATACTTGCGCTTTGCATCATGACCCTATCTGAATATACACAAAGGCTGGTCTTCTATTATCATGGAACTCACACAAATATCATAAACATTTAACCCCCAAAATAGCTATCCACTTATTTGTCCCTCGTCTACTCATGTATTCTTGTCAACAGCACTCTGACTGACACCACCAAGCCTTGAGGAGACTCTTATTATCACCACCCTTCATCCTCACAGTTAAAATAATCCAACAAGTCTAGAATGGTTTGACAAGTCTAGATTGCCTCAGCTCTAAAATTAGGCAGTGGGCTCTTTTTGTATTTTATTTTGTATTTGTAGATTTAAAAAATATATAATAACTTTATTCTGGGACTATATGTTAGTCTATAACTTTAATAACTAACTGTTTCCTTTGTTGTTTCATGCCTCCTCAGCAATATTCCAACTACATGAGTGCGTCCTGTAAATAATCAAGTCTGGACCAAACAATACTGTGATCGATATTGTGAGGAACAATCCACACAATCGGGTATAATGATACGCAATCAACCAAGTCATAGATTTTGACCATCCAATCCATTTAGTCACCTCATGCCACATGCACAGGATCCTGGGCCCTCTTCTAATGCGGAATCCCTACAGGGGGCTAACACACTTTTTTATCTTTACAGGAAATGGCCATCCCCTAGCACCACTCATAAACCAATTCTTAAGTCCATCCCTCCCCCACATCTCACCAGCTGAACCACACCCATCCCCAGACATGTCTCCCCACCATCCTACTTCCTTGCTTTTCCACCTTACCCCACCCTGTACAGGAATTCCACCGTTCTTACGGTGCCGGACTATTCCCAGCTGGTCTGCTAGCACTTCCAGGAAGCTCAACTATGTCGGACTGTGCAGTATGGGGATGGGTGCTGCGCCTGTGTTGGGCCTGTGAGGGGCTCCAGGAATGGGGGATTGACAGACTCATTTAATATCAATTAAACTCAATCTTTGATATAAGTTAATACAGGTTTTCTTATGTCTATGACAAAAATATGCACATCCAATTTCATAACATTTATTTAAATGTTTCTGTATCAACCTGATTGAAGTTTTTGTTTTGATGTGACATATAATGCACTTGCAATATACTTAAATTCTAAACTTTTGACACCTTTAATCTTTCAGATAATGCAATAGGGCGGGATTCAGAATGAATCCCATTTTCTCTATTGTAGGGAGTATGGACAAGCTAATTTACAAACTGTGACATGCAGGGCCACCTACACAGAGCCTCACAATATCAGGAGGGACACCAAGACCTCATCCTTGGTGATAACATTTCAGGAAAATGCCAACAGTTTAGTTTCTTACAACCACAACTATCTCGTAATCATAATCTCCAAAAGAACACAAAACGGAACCTTTACCCTTCCCCCACTAAAGGCTTCAATGAAAAAAATCAAACATCTACACACCCAATGTATAAACTCTTTCAAAGATGATTCGATATATTTTCAAGAGATTATTTTCATTAGCAAAAGCAAGAGATTGATAATCCCACCCAAACATGCGTTGATGTGTTATTGAAACAATGCTGGCATCTTCTAGTCATCTTCTTTATCGCTGATACATCTGTGTTGAAATGTATACCACAGATTTAGCATGTTGAAAAGAGTATTCAGAGGATTTTTGAGTTTGCTATTGTATTTATATATTACACAGATTGTGGAGGTGTGTTTTATCAGAGCTTCAAACAATACCCATTTCTTGTCAAGATGGTTCTTTCAGCAATGTACATCATCCTGACTGAAATCTACAAGAAAACAACCCTCAAATGCCAAATAAACACAGCATTTAGAAGAGATCCCACTGCATGACAACAATCATATATGTAAATAATTGCATTTTAATACTAGGTTCTTGGCAGGGATTCAGGAGACTGGAAATCCACGTCAACTAATCCATTTCATGACTGAAATCTACATCAGTGAAATCCAAACCCCAGGCTACTCATCAACAAGTACCTTATTCAGGTTCACAGGGGAACACTTAACATATACCACAGGGTGGTAAGGGGCTGTTAATGTTATCAACAACTTTTTCAATCTTCAAAGATAATTTCTCACAAATGATGATTTATTTTTAACCAGACTGAAAAGTTGAGTTTAATTGTTAATGTTTTCAGTTGATAAACATAAACATCTTTCCATATTATTTCAATATCGATTTTTCGATAATTAACATCAGATCTGAGTACCAGCTGTTGCTTATGATCATGATGTCATTGTTTACACGAACTGTGCAGTGAAATGCACGTCTCTGCTGTCAATCAGGCTGAAATTGACATTGATGACAGAAAGATTACAGTTAACCAGTTCTACTTTTGATTGTATCCAACAATTTCACTCAGAACTTTGGCACTTAAAAGACCATTTTAAAAGAATGGTTCCTTAAAATGGAAACACTATTGGGAATAAGCTCTTTCAATAATTAAAACAACCAAACAATGACTACATAAAGTTCATGGTCCACAAGAGAATTTTGATCAATATAGACGATAACAAAATCTATAATATACAACAATGGTGCAAACGTTGTGTGGGTAACAAAATTCTCATTTAATGTACATGATATTTAATTTCAATATTAATTTTAATGTCTGAAATCTTGGGTGTTTATATTCTAATGTCTGAGCAAGGCGTTGGATTTCACTGGTGCAATGTATATCAATCTGTATGTTTACATATGCTTAGGGACAAAGAAAAAACACTGATCAATCCTTCCTGTAAATTATTAACAATCATCATCTGGTAAAAGATGAAAGAAATTGAATACATGTTGATTCTCAAAACAGTTCAAGAACCAGCAACCAACCTCATCCACAAGAGGTAGAAAAACCACCTGACAAACTATCCAGCTATTCATGTCCATGATACGAGAGCCAGCATTAATCATTCTGTTTGAAATATACAACTATTCTATGGTGATTTTTGCATTTCTTCTAAACAGACAAACAACTGATGAAGATTCTGTTACTTGATGCTCAACAACCCCACTCTAAACGTTAGTTAAATAGTGACAGAACACACTAGGACCGTATTTCATGAAACCAGATGAAACCTGGCATTCTTATGCAAGCAGTGTCTTAAGATGGTGGATCGCGCAATGGTGATATCGATGAATCATAGAACATTCAACATTGAACATCATTCGCATTCTGCGTATATGGGTGGTTTAATCAGTAGTCATAATACCTAAGTCATCAATGCACTATATAATGGTCAACGATGATATAACGTACGTTACCTGATAGGAAATCATCCCTTGAACTAGTTGAGCTGAAACTTCAAATTGAACACATAATATCCATGTATGAGCGAAAAGAAATTGGAAATATAATCCCAAAATGACGAACAATATTATTGATAAAAGGATATGGATTTGTGATGATCCTCAGGCAGACATAGCGAAGCATGTTAGTTTGCTTGAGAATCAAGAATGATTTCGGTGAAAATCCTGGAAACGGTAACTCCTCTTCCTCGTCTCCATCATCACCATCGGAATTGTTTTGTGCCTCAACATCCTTACTTTTCTTTTCATCACTTTCTTCCTCTTCTTCCTTCCTCTCATTTTCGTCCTTCTTTCCTTCATTGACGCTCAGCTGGCGTTCAAGACCACTAGATTCTTCAGCCATACTTGCCGCACAACCTAACCTAACATATTATCCGTTATTCCCATGCACAGGTGAAACAAAGCAATTTTGTATATCTCGTACTCTCTCACATAATGCTACGGCAACAGAGTTGTGAATTAGACAACTCGGTAGTTGCTGTGCCAAGATCCAAGATGAATGATAGATGAACACGCCTTCTGGGATCCATGTTAGGCGTACCTGCCTAAATCACGGTACCTCAGTCTCGAGGAACTGGCTGGCAGTGCGGCGTTCACCATCTGGCTTTGCCAATGGGCTCGGCAGATCCCCACAAGACTACCTGCAAGTCAAGTTACGGTGGAGCCCTACCGTAAGCAGCCAGCTGACTTCACAGCGAGCCGGCTTGTCAATGGAATATTTCCTACAAACTCGAGCCTTGCGAATCAATACCACTGCTACGCGTGCGGTTTGTTCGGGGAGAACTCATCCGGCGGAGAATACACATGCGACAATCGCCATGCGAAAAAAAACCATATTTTCAACGAAAAATTATCCAGTTAGTTAAGCGTTGAAGTTTCCCCCAGATGTAAATCACGGCTTTCGCGAGGCGCTACTTCCATTTTCGCTTCTCTGACCATTCATTTACATTACTCGCAGAATCCCGTGGTAATATGGTCATGTGACCTTATCAAAAGCAAATCTCGTTTGCACATGGCGACGCCGAGCTTGTCACCGGCTCTCTCATCTCATGTCGATGGACATATGAGGGTGGCACGCTTGTGCCGTCGCGGCTGAAGTGCAAACAGATTTTCGCTCGTGTTGAGAAAATATCCCATATGGATTTTGCGGCCTTTTAATTGTCATGTGTTGCTTTTGCGCTACTGTTTCAGCCGGAATCTTGGATGGGTTTTAGCCTGTAATGCAAGAAAACACGATAATTAGAAGACGTCCTATGTCATATCGATCTGTGAGCGCAGCGCGATTAATTTCAAGTGAAAATGAACATAACGGCAACGGACCTGGGTGTTCACGAGACTATTTTCGCATTGCATGACCCTGTTATTATTTCACAGATAAATGCGTTTTGGCTTGGAAAGAAGCATCCAAGGTCATCGTTGATTAATAATGAAACACTCTGAACAATGTATTCCTTATCATGTACCGTGTGTTTATTAGTTAATATTATTTACTTACTGCCATGAACGCATTAAAAAGGATTGTATTTAGAAAATATACAAATCCGTATGGAATTTTAATTTGTGTCTTAAATTCCGTTCATCTGATATCGAAGACTAAACACTCCCTACTAATAGTAAACACGTGAACGTCTGCATTGAACACCTGTTGGTAATTCCACGTGCCGGGCAAGACTTATCTTGTGGAAACCCAGTCCGGATAATCGATGTTCTACTGTAGTTAGTTGGCAGAAATATTAAGTGATTACGATTGTGTAATATTACAGAAACATTCCGATCACCATCACTACCACACCAGCATCCATGACATCATCATCATCATCATCATCATCATCATCATCATCGCATCATCACCATCGCACCATCACCATCATCATCCTTATCATCATCCTTATCATCATCGCATCACCATATCATCATCATCATCATCATCATCATCATCATCGTCTTCGTCCAATTAACATCATCACCACATTCACCACAACACATTTGTATAGAATCTGCATTCACGTGTTCAAACGCTTCTCAGTGTCTGTTGAAAAATTAATTACTGTTTCTAATATTTCTTGCAGGACAAATTATTAAAGATCACCCCACAGTGTCACGAAATTCAGAATAATTGCGAGGGATATAGGGAGTAATGTCACTTTTAAATATTAGTACCATAATCTCATGACGACATGTCAGAACAATGTGGAGGGAAGCCCACACAGGGGCAGGTCGTGGACAGGAACATCCTCGATTATCCACGGTATTATACATCCATTCTTTTACGATACATACCTTGGACCCTTTCGCTGTCATAGTTTTCTTCGGAAGTGACGTTACTACCTTCAACTGCCCTATCACTAGCTGAGCACAGACCGTCTCCAGCTGGTAAGTGTTATTTAATTGATGGCTATTTGTATCGGCTTGGGATTTTTTGATGGAGACCAGATATTTTATCAGCTAGATATCGAAAACAATTGTTTTCCTAATTGAAATTATGAGCCAAAATATTTTTTTCAAGCATCGTCTGGTACAATAATTTGTTTTCGATAAAAGCCCACCCCCTTTTAGTAATTGTTTACTCACCAAGGCTAATAATGAAAGGGCATCTGGAATTCAACTGAATACAGCGGATCCTTGCAGCAAAGGGACATAACTCAGACTACAGATTCTGACCATAGGTCACCCGCGCCGCCGAACTGAAAAGAGAAATCACACACGTTGTCTACGTCATGTAATGCGTTTTAATAACCCTTTTAAGTACACCTCTCCACAACGTATTTCACAAACATAATGGTGTACATAAAGAGTATGTTCCCTGATTTTGTTTTCAGAAAATGAGTTCATTCTGATGAAACGTACCGATGATCGAACTATTGGCTATTGATTTATTCTTCTGACTGGACCCAATTCTATGATGTTTACCATCCTAGTCATCACTGTTAGTGAGTGAAGGAGCTGAGTTTAACGTCGCTTTGAGGTGAGGCGTATTTAGGCTTAAGGTCGTGTCCAAGATTATTGCATTACATAGCGACGTGCAAGCGTGTGTGTGTCGGAGCCAATCAGTCCTTGTTTTAGCCCCTTAATGCCGAGCCTCAGACAGAGTAACAACAAGTACAATCTTTTAACGTCTTTTGGTAAGACGCGCGCTAGGATCGAACCCTGACCTTCCGCTCTCATGTGCGGACGCTCTACCACTAGATCACGGAGGCGTTCAACGCCGCTTTGAAAATCTTTCAGTATCTGAGCGAGTTGGGTAACAACCAATACATGTTATCTCTTTGCAAGTCAGAAAATCAGACAGACCACAACTCATCAATTCAAGAACACACTTTGCAGTTATATCACGACGTGTCAGCTTAATGTGGGAGGAAACCCCGAAATGATGCAGGTCTCAGACGTTAACTACTTCGGTGAAACCCACGAACATGGCTATGGCGCTGACAAACCTAGAAACAACTAGGGCGAACCGAGATTCGAACCCACCATCATAGGTTTCAAGCACGCCCAAGGGAGGAAACTCTCCACAGCAATATGCGGAGTTTTGGACTCCTGGGCCACCCGTGCGGCTTACCTTAAAGACCGTTCTCTCTGAAGTACAAAGCACGAAGTTTAATGAGTCTTGTTTTGAGACTTCTCGAGAAGGAACATTCTTCCTGTAATTTTATCACCAGAATTCCTTGCTTAAAGGAAGAAATGAACAATACCCTTTTGTTACTCGTCAAATTTTTGCACACCTTTCGGTATCACTGTGCTGAGTGAAACTCGGGGGGAAGTGAACAAACGCCCTTGCTATGTATACAGCATGCACTGCCACACACAGCCACATCTGGGTAAGGTGGATAAGAACATTCTTCAGCATTCAAAAAACGTTTGAAACACCTCATTTCATTGGAGCATCGGCAAATCTGTTCTCTTATGCCTACATTCATTGGCTAGACCGTGAATGACACCAATTGCTTATTTTCTTTAAGCTGTTGTATGGAGAAGAAAATAATATTTGTTATAGGTGGACGGTAGGAATGCTGAATCATCAGTTTGTGTAATTACCTTTATAAGGGCCGTCATAACGGCTTATCAGTAAAACCTTGAAATTTAACAATGTATGAGTATACCTGGGTGATACATCACAATTAAGGTGACCCAGCTTATTAACGAGAGCAGCATTGAGAGCCAAGTTGTGTAAATTCATGGCATTTTTAACAGAAAAAAAATACACGGAGTGAGTTTGAAGTAGTCAGAGAAGAGACATTGTAAAGGACTGTTATGATTTAACGGAAAGAAGAATCAAGGTTATTAAGGGAGGGAAAGAATGAGTGAGTATGGTTTTATGCCACTTTTAGCTATATTCCAGCAATATCACAGAAATGGGCTTCACACTGTATCCATATGGGGAATCAGACTCGGGCGGGCGTGACGAGCGAACGCTTTAATCTCTAGTCTACCCCATCGCCACGATAACATAAAGAGTGAGAGAGAGTGATAGAGAAGACGAATATACAAGACGACAATGACTCCTACATTCCCGCCATCCTCATCCTACCATGTGTTGCAATGTGCGAAAGAAGCCTGACAGGCAGATACACTCCTGTTCAAAACAAACGTCCCCTCGATCGCGATCATGGCGCGCAAATATCGCTTCCCGTTTGCGATCGATCTTGAACGATTTTTGAGCTATCGTTGTCATTTGTTCTGTTTCCATGGACACCGCAAAGATAACTAATAGCAACATCTGTGAGTAGCAAACGGATGCGTTCCACAACATACTCATTAGGTGAGCAAAGTCCATGAAACTATCGAGAAATATTAAATTTTTCATATTTGCTACGAAACAAACCTATCCTCTTTATCAGATGTATTAGACTCTGCATCCAAGAATACACGCATAACACCAAAGATAATGGCATTTGGAATTTCTAGTGCCGACAGGCACCACTACACGTTTTGGTCAATATGGCGACACAGTGTAATGAACATGTCTTTACCGTTCTATGCGTTCAAGCCGGAAACGAAGCGAACTATGCTTTCAGTGGTGTTTGTTCTTGTTTCCGTGAAAACAACCCCTGGTAAATCTAATTCCAAAATTCTAACTGCCAAAAGCACTACGAAACCAATTACTTCATACGAGTACCCAATTTTATGAAAATTTTGTCTTTTTTACTTCCGGTCCAACGGGAAAGATCGGACCAAGCTTGTGTGTACATCTCACGTCAACTTCAATATGACGGGGGATATAAACAGATTGAAAGGGAGACAAAAAAAAGAAGGTGGAAGGAATGGAAGCATCAACTGGATATCTAGAGAGGATGCAAAATCAAAGAGATAGGAAAGAAAGAAGGGGCGATTAAATCAACTAGAAGAACCAGCAGACACGAAAAACGAGGAAGCTGAGAACATTGAATTGTGAGAGAAACAGAACTGGAGATAAAGGCAAGAGCCGAGATAGAGAGAAGGGAGGAGGAACAAACAAGGGAAGGGTAAAAAATCTGTTGATGACAATTTTCCACACGAAGACACTGGAGCCAAGATAGAAAGAAGATAGAGTGAAGAGCGGAGGGAGAAAAGAGGAAGAAGGATACAGATCAGGGCTAAATAGACTGATGTCTCCACTGAATACTCTGGAGCCGAGGTAGAGAGAAGAACGAAGGAAGAAAGGAAAATATATAGATCAAGGCTAAATAGAGTCATAAGTCTCAACTGAATACTCTGGAGCCGAGGTAGAGAGAAGAACGAAGGAAGAAAGGAAAATATATAGATCAAGGCTAAATAGAGTCATAAATCTCCACTGAAGACACTGAGCCAAGATAGAGAGAAAAAAGAGGAAGAAAGATATAGATCAGGGCTTAATAGAGTCATAAGTCTCCACAGAAGACACTGAGCCAAGATAGTGAGAAAAAGGAGGAAGAAAGATATAGATTAGGGCTAAATAGAGTCATATGTCTCTACTGAAGACACTGGAGCCAAGATATAGAGATAAAGGAGGAAGAAAGATATAGATCAGGGCTTCATAGAGTCATAAGTCTCCACTGAAGACACTGAGCCAAGATAGTGAGAAAAAGGAGGAAGAAAGATATAGATCAGGGCTAAATCGAGTGATAAGGCTCTCCACGGGATACTAGATAAGCACGTCATCGAAAAAAATCAAATTTGAAACATTAACATTGAAAATCACTCAGTACACAAAGTAAATATGACCACATGGCCACATAATGCACTTACTTTTATAGTCCCCGAGTCGGCATCACTACAAAACACCGACCTGCAGTATCTCGACCCAATCAAATTACAAATCGTGACACAAATTGCAATACGCCAGTGGTCTACACAGCCGAAACTTTCACACTCCGACGATACAAAATTGATCCCAAGGCGAAGAAAGCCTTAATATTTTATCATTTAGTTTCATTGGCAGGCAAAGCCCACTCATAGTCCGTATGGAAGCGGCTAACTCGCACTTTGACATGCACATCATTTAGCGTTGTGTCCACTGCACCTGTACACCTGTCACGGTGGTATCAAGAAATGTAATAAGACGCTGATGAAATGACCACGCCATTTGTCAATTAATAAATTGACCGCGCGCCGGGCGGAGGTCCGAGGATTTGGTAATGGTTGTCTCCACGAGACTCGTCAGTTCCTTGCGGGGTTTCATCGCTATGCTACATTTACTTGCGTCTCCAGGGATGATTAAGTTTACGGGTAGGAGTCGATTGATTGTGTTATGTAATGAAAGCCTAATAGACCTTCTCATGTGGAAGATATTGTATATCAGTGTGTTTCTGTAATGGTGTGTTCGGACGTTAACGGGGCGCTTGCAGCTACATGACGCTGAAACACACCTGCACTTCGCCAAATCAACTTGAAGTTTATGTTCCGTTTATGAAATATTGTTTGTGTGAATATATGCATTAACGAGGCCTGTATCGAATCCTAATTATCAATGTCTCTGAATATAGTTTTGTGTGTTTGTTGTTTAACGCCGCACTCGGCAATGTCCTAGCTATATGTCGGCGGTCTGTAAATAATCTAGTCTGGAGCAGACAATCCGGTGATTAATATCATGGACATCGATCTACTCAATTGGGTTACGATGACAAGCATCAACCAAGTCAGCGAGCTGACACCGGACCCCGTTAGTAGCCTCTAAACAAATTCTAACCCGGATCTTCATGGGGTCGCTGAATATGCGTTACGTATACACCGAGTAAATATCATCTTTCGAAATAATTACTACTTTTTTATTAAATGAATGAAGAATTAAAGTAAAGAGGACCATTTTTATGTTTCTGGACACCATAAAGGGCTTCACGTGTTGTATTCCTGGGGGAATCAAACACGTCTTCGGCGTGACGAGCGAACTAGACTACCACCACTGACATACAATACAAATGAAACATGACATTCTAAACAGAAGTCGTATCATGTTTCAACTTCAAAGAAGGGGACATAATGCTGCAAAAAAACAGTGCTCAGTTACTGGAAAAAAACGTATATGTGCTTGTATTCAACGAGAAAATAAAAACGTTTCAAGGAGAAGCAATATGGTGCTTCAGAGGAAATAATGCTGTGCTTTAAAGATCTGTTTGTTGCTTGACGCCAGTCATCAATATTCCAGCAGTACGACGGCATGAAAATACTTGTCTGGATCCGACAAATTAGCGATTGATAATGTAAGTAATCATCAACGCGGTTG